TTGCTTCTTCATAACGGAGAAGAGTTCACTCTAAATTCACCCTCAACTTTAATCTAATAGGGACAGGGTATGAAGCAAACGAAAAAAAGAAGAAGAAAAAAGAAAAGAAAACTGATTTTAACAATTTGTTATATTTCTTGATTACGGGTTTTATTTAAAAGTGATGGAAGATGTAGAACAGCCATCAACAGTATTCCAACAGAATAAGACTGATATGATTTTCGGAAATTAACTGGGACTTCATTCGATATAAAAGTTATATGGAATAGAAGGTCTGTACTCTGTATCCTTCAGGAATATCTTGCATATCATTTCTTTTTTTTTTCAAATTCGAATGAATTAATCCAATATTCAGATTTACTTTAACACAACACATGTATGTGCAGTCCACGAAAGTTCCTTCATATTGTTTGTAAAGGGTCTTGTATACAGGGGGAAATGAACCGTTTACATAAAGTTTAAATTCAGAAAATACAAGTCATGGAAATTCAAGACGAATTTTAGTTTCACAAAGCACTGTAACAATATCACAACATAAATCAATGTTCGTTGTGTTCATTTTTTAAACAAAATATATTTGTGAATAGTATAACAAATAGTATACAACATAACAACAAAAGGAGTAGGTCCGGTAAGGGCCGATTTTGGCCTCAAATTTCAGGTTCATCTGATGAAAGATTTTGGTCACTTTTTAAACACTTAAGTGTCTACTTTTGTCGATTCAATTAGTTTATGTGACAGATTTGAACTGATTTTATCATTAAAGACGCTCAGATTCAAGCTTAAATATGAAAAATCTATCAAATATGCCATAATATGTCACTTTTCAGATGGTTTTTGCCAAAAATGAAAGTGGCCGCATCCGTGTTCACTCTCAACCTTTATATATGTTATGTATTATCATCAAATATAACTTGCATTTAAATATCAAGAATGAACACAAATGAGGCCACTTCCATTTAAGACGGAAACCGTCTAAAATTTAACTCAAATGCTAAAATTGTGAAGATTTCAGTAATTTAGCATGACTTAATGATGCTAGTACCCGATATATATGCATTGTATTGTCAAAAACTGCCCATATTTATGTAGCAGACGTATTCTAGTTTCCAATAAATAGCTAAAAGTTTACATTTTAACAATTTTGTAAAACTGCTATATTTTGGGGCCAAAAAGGGGTCTTACTGGACCTACTCCTTTAACAATAAAGAAATCACATTTAAAGAATGAAAACCTCATTGATACGTGTACATATACAAGACATATACAGTGGAATTCTTCACAGAAGAAAAAAAGCCTTGCAGACACTCTTGAAGTCAAAAGTATTCGTTCATTGTCCGTACTAGTACTAACTTGCTTGCCTCGAGTTCGTAGTTGAAAAAGAGCACTGGTCGGGCAGTTTGTCCAGATACGGTGCCAACTTGTGTGCTAACACTTGTCAAATATAACTCAATCTAATACAAAAAAGGGTACTATATTGATATGAAAATAACACGTTATTGGCCTGAATATATGTATTACATGTATGTATCCGGGTTGACGTTTAACTCCTTTCAATCAATCATTGCACTCAACATACCCATCCTCATGCTTTGTTGTTCACAATAATCATATTACATGTAAATATATCAATTATATGTCTTTCGTGTTGAATGCGATGGATATTGCCCTCTGACCAAACAAATTGTGTGTTTAAGTCCCGGTAGAAACTTAAATCTAAATAAAAGGATGTATTGGATATACGTCAATGAAACAACAACCCGGCGCCACCTAAAAGCTAAAAAGACATCGTATTTTAAAGGTTAACATAGTTACGGTCTTCCTTGTATGTGACAGATGCCTATAAAGCCTGTCTAGTTCTTAATAGCCCAATATTTAAAAAAATATGATTTTGTTTTACAGAGATCATAAAAAATCTGCTTTCAATACCAAATGTTTAACCCCGCCACACTCTATATATGTCTGTCCAAAGTTAGGAGTCGTTAATTGCTGTGTGTCATATTTGTTTTTTCATTTATTGGTTTGTCATAAATCAAGCTGTTTGTTTTTTATGAATTGTTTCCCATTTTGTCAGTCATTTTGGGGCCTTTTATATAACTATATAGTATGGGTTTTTCTCACTGTTGTAGGCCGTACGGTGACCTAGGTGTCTAATTGGAAATCATACAACATCTATATATATACCTATTTTATATGCACATGTGGAGAAGTAAAACCTTTTCGAATTACCCTGTTTGTTCGTTAACAACATTGGAATTTGAATTTCTACATCTTAATTTTGTTAAATATGATTGTGTCTGTATATACTTTTTACGTTTTCTTTTTACGTTTTGTCATGAATTTAATATTTTACCTTAACTGTTAATCCTATACTAAAAGATAAAAACGCCGATCCCATAGTCTTATAATTAGAAGGTTGCTGCTTCTTCACTAATTATGTGTCATTTAAGAGCAAATACTGACCGACTCGGAGTCAGAATAATGTGTCCGAGTAGGATGACATGTCGTCATGTGGATAGTTACCCTGTGAACTAGCGTGTCTGTTTAGTACAATGTAAGGTTCATACAGTCATGCTCTCATGCTGAATCAATACATAATATACGTGTATGAAAAAGAGGTGGAAGATATTAAGAGTACATTCAAAACTCGCAAGTCGAGGAAAAACTGACAACGCACTGGCAAAAAAACAAACACTACATAGAAAACTAAAGTTTGAACAATACGAATCCTACAAAAAACCGAGGTGAACTCAGATTCTCCGAAAGGGCAAGCAGTTCCTGTTCCACACGTGGCACCCATGATGTAGCTCATGTAAGTACAAACCTGGTGATAAGTCTCATCGGTGATGTCATAATTGAGGAAACGCGGACGGGATTGTGGTTAAGACAATTGGAACATACCTAATTAAGGGAGTAGGGTATTTGAAAAAAAAAAGTAACTGATATAAAATCATAATCTCCCACAATTTCCTATGAAATAACAAATAAATCAAAGAAATAACGTTAATAAAAGTAAATGGATTTTTAGCAACTAGAACTTAACATAATACATGCAGTATTACTCTAACAGCTAATGTCGGAGCTACGTTTTCATATATTTGTCTATCAATTATTGTAAACACCACGCATGGTTTTGAAAGAACTACTATCATTCTTTGCCTGACAGCACTATGTATTATAGCAGCTACAAACAAAACAGAAGTATATTTGATTGTATCACGTTTGCATTTTTCTACGCTCATTCTTTTACATTCACATTCGACATTTTAACTTTTAATTATGACACACCATAAAATGTATATACTTACGTAAAGAATAGGCGCCATACCAAAATTAATATATACACTGTTATTAATTTTCTTCGCTCATTCTTTTACATTCACAGTCGAAATTTTTACTTTTTAATACACCATATATATTTAAGCAAAGAACAGGCGCCATACCCAAATAAATATATAAACTGTCATTAACATTATTGGCATTTCCACACAAGGAAAAAGATGAATTCAGTACATAAATCAAACGCTGATCTTCATAGAATTTACGAAACAATGCGACATGAAAATCACTCTATGTTTAAAGAAGCAGTTACAATACAGTTGTACTTCTACTTCTACTAAGCATTGCCATGTGTGGGCTGGAACTACTCTCTCTCTGTCAAAATTTAATTTCATATTTTGAGTATTATTTGAGTTGTTTCTATATTTTACTTGTCCGGAATTTTTAAAAATACTTCGAATCATCTTTCTATACTTTGAATGTAATAACGTGTAGATAATCGGGTTAAATAATGAAGACATTTAAGCAAATAGTCCAGATAAAGCAGACGATAGCGGCGTAATGCATGACGTATCGCTAAACTGACCAATCAAAGCAATGATAGCATAAGGCGTCCAAGAAATACAAAATACCACAACAAGAATCATCGCAGCTTTTGTAGCACGCCATTCGACTTTTTGCCTTTCTTTACTTGATGAAATCCGTAAGCACACCGCTTTAGAATTTGATTTCGAGTGTGAAATCTCGCGTTGACGGGAAAATACCACTGTCACAATTTTCAGATATGATACAGATATTATTATCAACTGCAATACAAAACAAAACACAATTTAACATATCACATAAGTTCTGTTGTTCATAGTTTTTGTGAAGTAATCAAATGTACACGATGTCCTTGATCCCTCCATAAATATATAAACTGTCATTAACATTATTGGCATTTCCACACAAGGAAAAAGATGAATTCAGTACATAAATCAAACGCTGATCTTCATAGAATTTACGAAACAATGCGACATGAAAATCACTCTATGTTTAAAGAAGCAGTTACAATACAGTTGTACTTCTACTTCTACTAAGCATTGCCATGTGTGGGCTGGAACTACTCTCTCTGTCAAAATTTAATTTCATATTTTGAGTATTATTTGAGTTGTTTCTATATTTTTCTTCTCCGGAATTTTTAAAAATACTTCGAATCATCTTTCTATACTTTGAATGTAATAACGTGTAGATAATCGGGTTAAATAATGAAGACATTTAAGCAAATAGTCCAGATAAAGCAGACGATAGCGGCGTAATGCATGACGTATCGCTAAACTGACCAATCAAAGCAATGATAGCATAAGGCGTCCAAGAAATACAAAATACCACAACAAGAATCATCGCAGCTTTTGTAGCACGCCATTCGACTTTTTGCCTTTCTTTACTTGATGAAATCCGTAAGCACACCGCTTTAGAATTTGATTTCGAGTGTGAAATCTCGCGTTGACGGGAAAATACCACTGTCACAATTTTCAGATATGATACAGATATTATTATCAACTGCAATACAAAACAAAACACAATTTAACATATCACATAAGTTCTGTTGTTCATAGTTTTTGTGAAGTAATCAAATGTACACGATGTCCTTGATCCCTCCATAAATATATAAACTGTCATTAACATTATTGGCATTTCCACACAAGTTGAAAAAAATGAATTCAGTACATAAATCAAACGCTGATCTTCATAGAATTTACGAATCAATGCGACATGAAAATCACTCTATGTTTAAAGAAGCAGTTACAATACAGTTGTACTTCTACTTCTACTAAGCATTGCCATGTGTGGGCTGGAACTACTCTCTCTGTCAAAATTTAATTTCATATTTTGAGTATTATTTGAGTTGTTTCTATATTTTACTTCTCCCGAATTTTTAAAAATACTTCGAATCATCTTTCTATACTTTGAATGTAATAACGTGTAGATAATCGGGTTAAATAATGAAGACATTTTAGCAAATAGTCCAGGAAAAGCAGACGATAGCGGCGTAATGAATGACGTATCGCTAAACTGACCAATCAAAGCAATGATAGCATAAGGCGTCCAAGAAATACAAAATACCACAACAAGAATCATCGCAGCTTTTGTAGCACGCCATTCGACTTTTAGCCTTTCTTTACTTGATGAAATCCGTAAGCACACCGCTTTAGAATTTGATTTCGAGTGCGAAATCTCGCGTTGACGGGAAAATACCACTGTCACAATTTTCAGATATGATACAGATATTATTATCAACTGCAATACAAAACAAAACACAATTAAACATATCACATAAGTTCTGTTGTTCATAGTTTTTGTGAAGTAATCAAATGTACACGATGTCCTTGATCCCTCCATCATGTGTCCTCCCCAACCCAAATACGGTAGAACAGACCATCCAATTGAATATATCCATACAGTGACACATAATAAAACAACTCCGGGATTCGATAGTCTGTTGTTATAAGTTAGATGACATGTAATAACTACACAACGCTCAATGGCAAGTACAGTAAGTGTATTTATACACACGAAACCGGAAAGTCCACCAAAGAAAGCAAAAAGGTGACAACCTGAAAAGAAATAATTGACTTTGTGTGAGTATTACTGTTTTATTTTGGTGTTTTATTAAAGATGAAAAGAAAACTATTATGAAATATCGGTATAATATTCAATACATATGGAAACTTTCTCTTTGGCTTTATAAACTTATTAATGATGGTTATACGTATACTGTTGTTGTTCAAATATTGATTCTAGTATGCTTTTGAAGGGAAATCAATTTGTTAATTTTTATTTGAAGCAATACTTAAATGTTTCATCATTTAAATTCTGTACATTTTGTTCTGGGCATTAGACAACTCTTCCTGTAGTATTTATGACATTGATGATGACCCAGTATGAATTCTACTATGAAGTACAGTAACCGATATTAGAGGGAAGCAATGCATAACCTCAAATGCGAGCATTCTTTGATTGGTATGTTATTGTTTTATTTCGTTTTTTTTGTTTATATTGATGGTTTTGTTTTTTTATTATCTATTTTATTTCAAGTGTTACTTCTGTACATTTCTGTGCCTTTTTGTTAGGCCACTGATTTTTAAAAAGAGGGGGTTTGGGATTTCAAAAGCTAGTTGACCGCGCCACATATTCATTAGTCTGTTCAAAATGAGGAACCCCGTCAGTGTTTGTCTTATATTATTAAGTATAAGAAATAGGACTTTTCGAAATAAAATGATTGAAAGAATTTAATAGGGCTTTTATTTGTTGACATTGGCCATTAAGAGTACCTGAGGTCACCACCGATGTTTAAGGGTTTCGTGTTGCTTAGTTTTCTGTGTAGTATTGTGTTATTGTTTGTTACTGTTGTTTGTATTTTCGTCGTTTTCTTTTTGGCATAGTGTTTTAATGGTTTTTTGATCGTCCCCTAGTTACCTCTCTCCTTATAACTAGCTTTCAGTTACTACCTGCAAGTACTGTTAGATCGATATTTTGTGTCTCTATTGTAAGTGTTTTGTGTTGTTATGCTTAGTATCTATCTGATGAGTCGAGCCCTTCCCAACTATATCTTCTATTCCTGTAATGCTACTTGACCGTCTCAGATAAGTGGTTGAACGCTAATAAACATGTGTGACACCGCCAAATTCTTTATGTTCATGTCTCAAGCCACGTTCTTGTAATCAAGTTTGGTCCGTAGCCAGAACGTCTCTGAGGCGTGTTATTTTGAAGGCACGAGGCTGTGACTTTAATAATCTTTGATAGTTTTTTGCTTGTTAAAGGGGATTTTGACCGAGTCTTCCGTCTTCGCCCACGGCTACGGGCATGCTAGTGGTTATTGTTGGTTGTCTGTCATAAAAGAGGGACGAAAGATACCAGATGGACAGTCAAACTCATAGATCGAAAACAAACTGACAACGCCATGGCCAACAATAAAAAGACAAACAGACAAATAATAGTACAGATGACACAACATAGAAAACCAAAGAATAAGCAACACGAACCCCACCAAAAACTGGGGGTGATCTCAGGTGCTCCGGAAGGGTAAGCAGATCCTGCTCCACATGTGGCACCCGTCGTGTTGCTTATGTTATTACAAATCCGGTAAATAGTCTAATTCGGTAAGTCGAGTCACATTCGTGAAAAGGGAGGGTATTGTAGTTACGACATAAGGAACATATCCGATATCATCTGTGAAACGGTTATTCCATAACGGTCAACCAACTCGTGATGGCGTCCGTAAAATTTACGAAGGGATGACTTCAACTTCACCATTTGGAACTCTTGGTTTAATAGCTTCCTTGTGAGCAGCAATCTTCTATCAAGGAAATCATGATAGGAAACACAAGCCCGGGAATATCGTATCAATTGGAAGATATATACTCCGTATGCAGGCGCTGCTGGAATGTTGCTACATAGAAATGGAAAGTTCACAATTGGGAAGCTGAAATCATCTCTTTTGTCGTAAAGTTTTGTTTTCAACCGACCCTCATTGTCAATTTCTAGATGTAAGTCAAGATATGAGGCAGACTTAACTGTATCTGTAGTATCTTTTATCTCTAGTTCGATGGGATAGATTCGTTCAACATAGTCACCAAATTTTGTATTATTTAGTGAGAGAACATCATCTATATAGCGGAACGTAGAGTTAAAGAATATTGCTAACTTCTTATATTTCTTCCTAAGAAGTTCCTGTATGAAGTCAGCCTCATAATAATAAAAAAACAAGTCGGCAAGAAGAGGGGCACAATTGGTTCCCATTGGAATTCCGACAGTCTGTTGAAAAATGCGTCCTCCAAACGTAACAAATATGTTGTCAATCAAGAAATCAAGCATCTTGATAATGTCAGTTTCAGAGAAATTTTTGTTTGAATCAGAGTGATTCTTTACAAAGAAGGATTTATCCCTCCCCAAGACAAGATACTTGTATCTACGTTCGCCATTCTTTTTAATGAAACAAAGTAATACCAACTCTTCCAATTTGTCTTTTAGTTTGGAATGGGGAATACTTGTGTAAAGTGTAGAAAAGTCAAATGTTTTAATACTATTGCAAGATGAGAGAGTCTTAGATTGTATGTACTCTAAAAGATCTTTGGAAATTTTTAGTATCCACATCTGATTCACGCCACCTCTAGAATAGGCAGTTTCACAATAACTTTGGAGCCCGGCTTTAATTGCTGATAAAATAGATGTTAATAATTTAGAAAGAGGTTTCGTGGAGCAATTGGAAGACCCAGCAATATACCGTTGTTTGTAAGGACACTTATGTAGTTTAGGTATCCAATACAGTAATGGAAGATCCAGTTCTTCATCTTTGGTTGAAATTCCAAAGGAACATAGAACAGACCTATGATTATCCAGGATTACCTCTTTGGTAAGTGTCGTGAGGGTATATGTTGAGTTTCCAAGTGAATTGTCAATGCCTAATTCATTTATCAAGCAGTCTATGTAATGATATTTACACACACAAACGATGTTGTTTGGGGCTTTATCTGCGGGCGGGGACAACAACATATTTGTCATGGAGGTAGGACAAGTGTTTTGCAACATTTGGGTCTTTAAAAATTGACGTAGCGTGGGTATTGATATGCCCATTTAGTTTCTTAATTCGGATTTGTATCAACGACCTCACAGCCTTAATCCATTCGGAAAGAGTATCGGCGTCTTCTTTCTCGCGTTTAGCCCAGTGCCTGGCATAATCCTCGATTGAATCCATAGGTATTTTGAAGTTGTATTTCCAATTGATGGATTTAGGCTCACGATATTTCGGACCTTTGGATAACAAATTTCGCAGGGAAGTGTTATTAACAATGTTGAGGTCTCCGGTAATAACGTGGCCAGCCGGATTATATGTGAATTGGGAACAAGCACAGGTGCAATCAGGAGGTTTAGACTTGAAGTCGTCAATGTTGAGATCCTACAAAACGTGTTTGTAATTGAAAATTTTAGTTGCAATTGGTTTGGTATAGGTATAAGAAATTATTGGTACAGACTGATCTTTAAAATAAGGTGGTATTTTCGACTGAACTAATTTATGATGAAGGATATTGCCTAAGTTGACGCCATCGAGACCTTTGTTGGCAAAAGAAAGGTTAAGAAAAGATCTTTTATTTTTTCATCTTTTCCAATTCGAACTGTTTTTTAACCCGTTGGTTTTCTCTTAGCAATCATTTCACATTTTGTCCTCCAGTGATCTTTTTTATAGTTTAATATACGTTCAGTTTTAGATTTGTTGACTGTTTCCCACACTTTTTCTTAAGATAAAGAATCATGACGTCTCTTTATATGTGACCTTGTGAGAGGATTTATTTTAAATTTCTTGATTCTAAATTCCTTGTAAATGATTATTTGTTTCATTGTTTCAAAAGGATATTCGAAGTGAAAAATAAAGCTTCTGGTTCCTGTTTGTGATTGAAAAATATAGTTTGTTTTAACTAGTGTCGGGAAAAATACATGCCCCCTACACACACACACACACAAACACTAATGATAAATGGTCGATGCCAAAGTATTTCATCAAACCTCTGTGATTAAACTACGTATGTGTATATTGATATTTCCGGAAACCTACAGATCTACTTTTTATTTTTGTTTTCTCTTACCTATTACTCCGCCTATCCATTGTGCATGGAAACTTGAAATCACTAACAATGGAACATTTGCAACTATAAGTAATGTATCACCTACTGCTAAATTCAGAACAAAAAGGTTTGCAGATCGTCGTAAACTTTTATACCTGGAATAAAAAAGAAGTATATCTATTTACAAACAAAAAACCAAATGTTTGCCAAGAAACAAAATCCATGCTTTAATACAAATGAGTCCAAGACAATTAATTACATCATAATGAGTCTAAGTAATGCGTGATAAGATAATAACATGTTTTCTCTCGTACTTGTTATGGATCATCATTGAAATTAGGCAACATTGAATTTTATGTTTTCAGATGTCTTCGGTACATTTACTCATCTAATAACAACGGTTATGTATCCACAAAAACAGTCAAATAGATTGATTGATAAAAAACAATGAGTGTTGGATCGTTTACTGTTATCTATATGAAAATAAGGATATGTGGTATGATTGTAAATGAGACAACTGTCGGCCAAAGTTCAAAGGAAAGTAGCAATTATAGGCAACCGTACGGCCTTCAACAATGACAAAACCCCATACCGTATAGTCAGCTGTAAAAGGTCCCGAAATGGGGAAAAAAGTGTCCAGCCTTGCAGTCCATAAACAGAGTGAAAGGGGAAATAACAGTATTGTATATTTTATCTGAGTCGTATCATTACTTACAAAAGGGGATAAGATACCAAAAATGGGTATTCAAAAATCGTAAGTTGAACAAAAACATAAAACACCGAGTGGCAAATAAATAAAAAACGAAACGAGAAACAACTGTCCACAAAACACTACACAGAAAACTAGATTTTAAGCCACTCGAACCCCAACAAACACAATGGGGATGACCTCAGGTGCTCCGGGGAGGTCATCATCTCCTGCTCTACGATTTTAACCCACCGTGTTGTTCATGGCAAGTTAACGTTCAGTGATGAGTCGCATTTAGTGATGACACAATCGAGGAAAGAGGATGGGATGGTGGCAACGAAAAGCTTTTTTGTTTTGTTATTCATTCTTAATTAATATTCTAAATTTCATAATTTCATTATCATTCTTATTAATAAGGTTGTGAAATTATATTTCAAAAGCAAAATTTATTATACAATCTATTAATTTTTCACTGTTATACGTTGCCATTGTAAATATATAAACATTTATATGATCATGGGATATTTTCTTTAGATACTAATGCAATATTTTCGATATTGATCAATAACTTTCTACAGTACATCAAAAGAAGAATAAGTACAAAATATTTTCCTTATTATTCCGATATTAAAGCACGATTATTGAAATTGCGTAATAGTTTTGTTTTATCAAATTCAAGACTTTTCCAGATGTTAACAACGTCGTAAATTTCTCAGAATATCCTTTGCCATCGATAGAAAAAGATAAATGCAATAGAAGAAAATATTTGTATCGTATCGCTCATCGATTAGACTGATAATTATAGCAATTGCATTTACACTGAAAACGAGTATTTAAAAAAATGAATGTAAAGATAAGAAGATTTGGTATGATTGCCAATGAGACAACTCTCTACCAGAGATCAAATGACGTAGACTTCAAGGTTAACAACTGTAAGTCACTATAGATGCTTGTTTACTGAGATACTTGAATTATTCCCCAACGGATATTACAAATGGATTGTTTGCATTATTGTTCTGTTTTTCATATCTTAAATGGGGAAGAAGAATATCACATCAAAGTAATTTTAAAAAACATTCAACAAAAAGATGGAAAAAAAATTGACACATCACATTAAAGGTGTAGAGTTCTCGTTATATTAGTACGATAAAGTAATAAAAATACAAAATGTATGTTTCCAACAGAAATTAATGTTAACAGACAATACGCCCTGAGGTTTTTGACCTTTTTAAATCAACAGTATCAACCACTAATTAATGAATTGTGTGATAACAATCTTCCACATTTTCTGCCAGATTTATTTCTATGGACTCAAAGAATTCTTATGTTTATGCAACTCTGTAACTATGTAAATCGCATGAGGATGATTACCCTGTAATCAGTCAAAGACCTATACATGTACTTTATTGTTAAAAGACAACACCAAACCTTTAACCTCCATCAAGATAAGTATATTTATAATTTATTCTTAATACAATAAGGTAGACGACCTGACATATACGATATTTACATTTTGAAGAGCAATCCATATTGATGGACAGTATCAGTTTTCAATTTGTTTATCCCTTTTGTTGCAACAGTATAAAACTTTCATCTATATTCAATAATCCAGGGATGGTTTTGTTTACAAACTTTCCTTATTGTTCACCATTGCATATTATGGACAGACACTTATCTTTCTTTTTTTGAATTATCCAAGGACACTTTATCAATGAATATAGATTATTTATAATTCTATGCAAGTATTCCCCCATGAAAGTAAATTACAAAGCCATTAAAAAAACTTTGTCGATGTTAATTCAATATGCCCATACTTTTTATATCCAGTTAAAACTATCTGTTTCTTCCATTCTATCGCTAGGAGAATTTCGCACACAGAAGTGCATACAAAATGAATTTGTAAATTTTAAGAAACGCGTGTATCCCTGTTAAATAAAATTTTCTCAAACGCGAGAACAACCTATACCATCTTAAGCATGTCTCTTTTCCTGACAAATCGTCAAATTTGTTCCTTTAGTATGATTATATATGTAATTTTTAAATGTTTTTAATTGTGTTAATGGTACATTTTTATTCAAATGTGATTTAACATGAGGGTGTGGATGGGGTTAACAGAATAGAAAATAATGAGGTGCTGAAATATAAAGAAAAGAGTAATGGGCAAAAGGTATAGAGAATGGAGAAAAATGGCATAAAAAATTAAAGAATACAGAAATAAAGGACCCCATCCAGACCCTTACGTTCACGTATTGTGTGGTTTTAATCATATTTCTGTATAAAGATATAACGTGCTACAATAAGAACTAAAGGAAATTTAGGGTATACGCCAATGAGACAGCAACTTAACGAGAGAACAACCAAGACATCTAGAGGGCAACATACATAGTCTTCATCACTTAGACTGGTGTCTGTACGATATGCCGATCTCTAAATTGTCCCGAGTATATGAATATTATGAAAAAATTAACCAGAAACAAACAAAGAACTGCCTTTAAAATTAAATTCTCTAGCGATTTTTTTTTATAGATATCATGGTAAACGACAACAACTAACGAGGTCATTATTTGGGACAGGCACATGTTAATGTTGTGGGGTTAAACTTTAAAAAAGACTTAAATTCTCCCTTTTTCAATCTAGATCAGTAGATTAACAAAACGTACATAAAAGAATGTATAAATAAAGGCAAATACTGAAACAGCACTAATCTCTAAAATAACGGTATAATAGGTAACACAAAAACAAAAGAAATAACAAACTATATCTTATCAAAGTATGCTTCCAGTTACTGAAAGCCAGATCAAAGTACTTAAACCTGCTGATAAGAAATCATGCCGTCCTACACTTAATACAGGATCGTGTACTTAAAAGATTTCATTTAGCAACAACATGGACAGTACAGTACAATGAAAAAAAATAAAATAAATAAAATAAATCAGTAATGCTACTAATTAGCGAATTGATATCACAAAAAATACAAGACGCAGTGATTCAACATCAACCAGTATAATTATAATCTTTACTAAAAAGTATATTAAGCCAAGGAGACAGATTTGAAGGACAAACTCCTAAGTTTGTTAGCTTTATAAACAATGTTACCGTAAAAAGCTAATAGGTAATACTAAAGCTAATAAAAATACGATAAGAGACACTCTTAAAAAAAGAAAAAAACATAAGGTATGAGTATCAGAATAAAAAAAAAATAAACATTACATAGACGTAGATATTCAAGCCTTAAAAGTGATTTGATATTGATTACAGAAAAGAAGCCATTATAAAGTGGCAAATTAATTTCTTTCTTCACACTGTTTTCCAAGTAATATATAAACAAACACAAATAACTCATACTCAGAAAAACTTTCATTCATTGTTGTTGCTATATCATGTCATTTTTTTAAATTAAAGGTTTTTTTCTCTTTCGATTTACATGTTTATAAGAGAATTTTAATAATATGGAGACTCTACCTGGAAATGCAGCAATGCGTCATTTGTGAAATGACCTTCACTCAATAAGTTGGTTAATTGGCTATAGACCTGATTAAGAGTTTGATGTCTTTTTAATACATATCGTAACACTAATTTGATCTATGATAAAGTGTTAAAGCCTATGAGTAATTGCAGGTTATTCATTGATGTTGATCCCTGACTTGCAATGTTCTAAGCCATACAAAACTGCATGGAAAAAAAGTGAGAAAAGTCATTGTGACCATATTTCGACCTATTTTGCAGAACTGAACCATTGTATCAATTGTTTAATTTTCTTGTCTTGTATACGCACGAAGATGTTGCCAGTTGGCATGAATTACACACCAATCAATCAATCAATCAATCAATCATCAATTATAGTGAATCAATCAATCAATTAATTGATTGAAAAATCAAACAATCAATCAGTAAAATAATCTGCGAGAATTCAAAGAAAAGATCGTTTTCAAACTTCTACAATTTTCAATAAGCGTGGGTGTGAAATAACGGCAATTTTCGAGTCGAAAAATAAAATAGCTCTATTCGATTCTACATGTTCTTCTATGTTTAAGTTTTTGAGCCTAGACTTAAAGATAATGTGGGTGGACGATTATCTGGTATTATCTGGAATTAGAAAGAAGAATAGAACCGTATCTGGGTAATTTAATACTGGTATAGGATGAGTGTGCTTTGTTAAGTTCAAAGTCATTATCATTACGTAAATTATTACAATAATTGTCTTAGTAGACAGTCCATGGTTAATTATATAAACATCTCTTATGGAGAGGAAAAATGAGTTGATCGCATTTCAATATCAATATCAATGACATGATCTTTCGATTTGTCAGTCTGTACTTTTTTCTTAAGAGCAAGAACGTTTTAATTCTTAATCAAGAAATTAGAGACAGAATCTAAAATATGAACACATATATTTGTCATACCAATGTTTGGCGAAAATCAATAGGATGTTTCTGATAAATTTTAACAAACAGTTTGGTTATCATT